TCTTTTTCATAATGAATTTATTAAGATTTCATAAATCCCAAGGGTTACGGGTATTAGAATCGAAACACAAAATACTCATCTACTTTCCTTTTCAAAAAATTCTCTGTATTTATTATGTGGTGAATTTTTTGGCTGTATTCTCTATCCACACTGTGTATCTTTGGTGTGTCTTCTAGGACCCTGTGCATTTCTTGAAAGTCAAGAAATTGCTAAAAAATAAATCACTTTGCAGGCATGCAACTTTTCCTCAGATCAGCTGATTTCCTCTTTTTTTACTTCACATGTGTGCCATTGAAAATAGAAAAACACTGTACAAAGTCTGGGAAAAATTTCAATTTCCTTTTTTTTTTGTGATTTCCCAGTTGCATGCCTGACTTTGAAAATGAGAGCATTTCACTAACCCCCATAGTCCCTTGGCATTTTTGCCGGGAACCTCCAAGAATCCAGCAAATTCCTGAACTCTGAAGGAAATGTACATCACCTTCCTGCATGTACTTACATGTAAACTATAAACGGGCTTCAAGACCGGACCTGTCTAGTGTTCAGTTAATGTGGCAGGGCTTATCTTCCTGCATCCTGCCATTTCCTCCAAAAACCCACCTCGATTTTGAAGGATTTTGGAGGGTTAGTGAACTTACAAAATGAAATGACAGAAATTGATTTCACTAACTGGAAATATCAAGTCTGTATTATGAGGATGTGAGAAAAGTGGCTATACGTGTACTTGACACACAGAACTTGGCCTAATGCCAAAATGGCACTCAAGCAGTTTTGTCCACTTAGCAATTAGCCATTATCCCACAGCACACAAGTACAAGTAGCTGTTTGCTTAAATTTGCAATCCTGAAAGCCCCCCCCCCCCCCAACAGTCTCTGTCGGTTCCGGTCGCGGGTGTCCGAAAATAACGATGGACCCAGGATGTAAACAGTACAGAGGCCAAGAGAAATGACTTAATCTCTCTCCTTTGCTCGTTTGGGTCTCCGCTTTTGTCTCGGTGGTGGAGCCTGAGCACATACACTGCACCATCCATCTTTGCGGGCCCGGGCGCGGTGAGAGCGTTCGATATCCAGGGATGCCTTGTTCACTGGGCGTCTGGCAACAACATCGGATGCTTTTCAATTTGTCTTCTGGCTGCCGATGGTCATCCTTCAGACCTGTTTTTTTTTTTCCCCGTCTTCTGTTTTAATTCACTCACTTGTTGTGCTCAAGATTTGGTGAAACATTTAAAGGGATCTTTGTTATTCCTGTTAATGATGGGGTGATCATTAAGTTTATACATTTACTGTGGCGACACTGAAAAGTTAAACATGGTTTTTATTGTTTCCAAAGAAAAACATGAAGACAGATTTACAAGTGTATGTTTCAATCCTAAACTCTTTGAGATGGGGGCAAAATGCCAGTTCGTTGTACACTGCTGGTCAGTAAGGACTTTTTCCTTAACTTCATGTAAAATAAAGCTTTGAACTGTTTATGGATCTTTGATTCTTTTCCTTACAAAACAGCTGCAAAAATGTATACATACATGGGACAAGGCTGCAAAGGATCTTCCAGATAGTCTCTATGATAGGGAAAAAACAGCTTACTCTAACTATCTAAAAAATAGGGACCCAACTGTGTCTGAGATAATTAATAACCCATCTGATTGCAGCGATTCGTGACCACTTAACAAAAGCCGGAAAAACAGGAAATCTCTGGCATTTATTATATAGGTCATCAATAATTTATCTCCCAACTAACTGACCTTTTTCCGTTCACTCGAACAGTCTTGAGTAAGAACAAGTCTTGTATAAAAAAAAATTGCTACAAGTGTGCATTCTGTTTTTGTTTCTAACTGTTGGGTCTTGTGGCCAGCCACAACATTAAATGGGTTAACCCACCCTGATACAGCACATTCCAGACTGTCGGCTGGGTAGGGGCTATATTTACCTGAGCGGATTCTCACCAGTACTACCCGATCTTCGTTACTAATGAAAAAAATCTAGTCCTGCCTGTGCTGTGGCGACCTCATCAGGGCTTGTCAAATTTTGACTGACTGCATCGGTGCGTGGGACTGCAGAGTTGCGGTTCTTTTTATAAAGTTGATTGATGTTTTTGCTGGCTACTACCACCTGGTCTGAGGAAATCCTATCCGCTGTGTTTATTTAAAACGGACACTGAGTAATGTCTTCCATATATTGATCTTCACAATGTCATGACAGCGTTGAGCTACAAGTGTAGAAAGACCATGCAGCAAGGTAAAATCCAGAAAGAAACCATTTGGCACAGAAAAAATATTCCCAGCAAGAAGTTTGAAGTAGATTTTTTTTACCAAAGGATATGAGTGGTATCTGTAAGAGGCATCTGGTTTTATTGTTTTCCTTTCTTAAAACCATTCTTATAAATATTGTTTGTTTTTATGGAAGGCTCAGGATGGCATAGCCTTCATATTGTCAGTTGAGCGGTGCACTTTGTGCATTAAACTTGACCAGCTCTCTCCCAAAGGTCAGTTTATCTAATGTGTCAGTCCCCTGGGCTTCAGAAAGAAAGCATCATTGACTTCATTATATGGCCCCTGCTAAGGCAGACCAGTCCGCCAGCCAGCCAGAAAACTAGCTGGAAAGCCAGCCAGTCTGGGAGCCGGGGAGTCGGCCAGTCAGTCAGCCAACAAGACATACAGCTAATAAGACAGTCAGATTGCTAGCCAGCCAGCAAGCAGGCCACCCAGTCAGCCGACTAGTAAGCAGGCTAACCAGCCAGCCAGCCATCTAGACAGCACCAGCTGGCCACTCAGCCACCCAACCAAACTTGCCATCTAGCCAGCCATCCAGCCAGCAAGCTAGCTTAGCAGCCAGCTAGCCAGCCGAACAGCCAGCCAGCCAAACAGCCAGCCAACCATCCTGTCCGACAGCCTTTTAACCAGCAAGCTAGCCAACAAGCCAACCATCCATCTAGACAGCATCCGCTAGCCAGCATCAGCTAGCCACCAAGCCAACCAGCCCTCCTCCCAGACAGTCAGCCGAACAGCCAGCCAAACAGCCAGCTAAACAGCCAACCAACCACCCTGCCAGCCAGCTAACCAGCCATCTTCCACCCATTCAGACAGCCATTTAGCTGGCCATTTAGCCGGCCATTTAGCCAGACAGTTAGCCAGCCAGCCAGCCAGCCGCCCACTGACCCACCCACACAAGTTCGGGAATTGGGGACCCTATTGTCCTCTATTGTTCAACATCCCCTATTGAATGCAGAAACAAACTCAACTCACCCACCCACTATGCCATTCACCCATGCAAGTGTGTATTTGCCTGCAATCGGGGACCCCTATTGTCCCTCTTTTGTTTGTACCTTAACTTTTAAGGAAGACCTCCCATATGTTTTGTGCACATCGCCAAATTGGGGACCCTATTGTCCTCTATTGTTCAACGTCCCCTATTGAATGCAGAAACAAACTCATCCACCCACTAAGCCATCCACCCATGCAAGTGTTTATTTGCCTGCAATCGGGCACCCCCTATTGTCCCTCTTTTGTTTGTGCTCTAACTTTTTAGGAAGACCTCCCATATGTTTTGTACACATTGCCAAATTGGGGACCCTTCGGGAAGTGGGGACCCTATTGTCCTCTATTGTTCAACGTCCCCTATTGCATGCAGAAACAAACTCACCCACCCATCCACCCAGCAACCCATCTAACCATCCAGTCAGCCATCCCTTCCGCCCTACCTGAGTCTCACTGAAATACCTCCACACAGATGATGGAAAATCTCACTGCATCACTCCACATATAGCTCATCCACCTCTCCCTCTCTTTCATCCCTCTTCCCGCCTCCCGCGTTGCTAAGTACCGCCAAGGTGTCTGCAATTGATTTCCTGTGGCATCAAAGTCCGATGTAAAAACGGAACACCACAGCACCTGAAAATTTAATACCGGCAACAACTCTGGCCAGGTTTCTCGCCGTGGCTTCCCTGATCGATCGCAACAACGCTTCTTTTCACTCTTTCTTCCTCCTCTCTTTCATGATTGAGAAATAAAGGAAGCAAACTTTAATAAGACTTTATTGGAGAACCTCAGGTGATGTCTTTAAAGCCGTGTGCTGCACTCGAGCGGACAGCAGAGCCGAGCTATTCTGAAGGCGGATTGGTTTTATTAAGAATGGAGTGAAACATTAACCGGTTGAATTTGAGCTGACAGCGCTGGCTAGAGCAGAATCTGTGTCACTGCTCTCATCAACACCATTTATGCGGCTCTGGTTTGGGATTTTTTTTTTTCTTGAGAGTATTTTGCTGGTTGAGTTTTATTAGCTCTTGAGCTCGAATGTTAACCCCTGTGCTGGAATGCGACATCCAGGGGTGCATTTTCTTTTCAGTTTGGTCTAGATAAATCAGCTTTCAATTTGATTGGTTGGAATTTCTGTAGTCCTCTTTTTTTTTCATTGGGTGTAAGTTAAGACGAAGACTTTGTGTTCAGTTGCAAATTTGATGTGTGGCATAAATAGTCGGTGTCTTATCCGCTTGTGAACTGGAATACGAACCAGTTCATAAAATATTTGGTGTACATGTTCACATTTTAAATTGTATGCAAATGTATGCAAATACGGATGAATATCCAAATTGTGCTCAACAACCTTTTTGCTTTTTTTTCCTTGGCTATTTTTTTGTTTTGTTTTTGTTTTTGCTTAGTCTGGATTCGTTTTGCCCCTCATAGACAGAATCATTTTTGCCACCTGATGCGAAAAATCCATCAAGGTTGGAATTTCATTTGGAACTTCTGATTTGATTTTACCTTTTTTTGCAAGGTGTTTCTTGCAAGTTTGTTCTGAAAGAAAATGCTTAAGATTTCAAAATTGAAACTGAAAATGCTTTTAGAATACTTCACTGCAAGTTTGATTGATTTCAGTCAGCTTGGAATCAGTTCTGGTTTTCTACAGATGCAAAACAAAAAGTAAAGTATATTTGGACATCAAAGAGAAATCTGTTTGAATTAACATGGACACCTCTGTTCTCCTTTTCCCCGTTTTTTTCTGCAGAGCTCAAACGTGCCCAAGAAGGAGGAAAAATTCAAGAATTATGTCCGTTCAGCATTCCACATTTCAGAAGCAAAGGTTTGTAGTAAAATAATGGGTAATGGGTAATGTTCATTCTGTGTGCACTTCACATAGCCATCTCATTTGCCAAGACTTTCAGATGATGTATGTTTATTCCCATCAAGATCTTTTATCTGTCCTGCTCACTGTCCATTGAGGGCGGTCATTCTCATCATGATCGTTTATCTGTTCTGCTCCATATCCAGGACACTCTTCTCATAAAATTGGTGTAAAATTAATATTCCACTGGTTTCCTGCCTCATGGACTGTTTACCTATAAGACTTCATCCATGCACCAGGGAAAGGTTGGGTTTGGATATGGGTCAAAGCACTAAGCACAGTCAGTACCTAGCAAGAGGTAGCACGATGTATACACAAGTAATGGATAAGTGAATACATGCAGGTTTTCAAGTATTCCTACTTTTTCCTAGTTTTTATTTTTACCTTACTCCTACTTTTCACACTTTTTTATTTCAAATTCCTGCTTTTTCCTACTTTTTGTCCCACAACTCCGAAAAAACAAAATCTCATTCAATGTTTTTCATAACAGTGTTAAACCCAGTCATAGACCTATGCAAATCACACAATGCAAAACGAACAAACAAAATCTCATTGAATGTTTTTCATAACAGTGTTAAACACAGTCATAGGCCTAGGTATGTAAATCACACAATGAAAAATGAACAAATGAAATCTCATTGAATGGTTTTCATAACAGTGTTACACACTGTCATATGTAAGTCACACAATGAAAGGCTTGGGCGCAGGAGTACTGCAACTGTACTTCCAAGAGCTTAGTTGAGGATGGAGCGCAAGTGGTGTGAGTACAGAACATGCCAAATGAGGCTAATGATGCTGTGGATATGGGGGAGTATCAACGAAAACTACTCCTGACTGCAAAGGTCCTACTTTTATCCTGATTTTGTCATCCCAAGTCCTATGTTTGTCCTGTTCTGGGTTTTTTTTGTTGTTGTTTTTTAATCCTAGGCCAACTGTTCGATTTGTTCACCTGGGTGTGCTTGCAAGCCTATACATGTCATTGGCCATTAAAACCAGCTCATACACAGGCTAATGGAATGCAAATACATTATAAACCAACTGTAGGTTTTAATTATGTATTTAACAAAAAACAAATGTCTGCACACGTAGTGTGGTTGTCAAGAGAATCCTTATTGTTCTAGATCTACATTTCAAAGGCCAACCGTATGTATCATTGACATTTCATGTGGGATTATGCACATTCTGCAGCTGTTCATTTCAAAGCCAAAACCTCTTCGGTCAATACACATACACCCACTGCGTAGTTAACTATTCTTATTGAAATTAATAACTAGCTAGTGGCTTCCATTTCCAAGAGTGGTAAGGACAAGCCAGGCCATAAATTACAATTAGATCCGTAACTGTTTGATGTGCCGAACGCTGCAATCTTGAGTCACACATTTACGCGGAAATTGATGACGACGATGTTATTACGATGCTAGTCAAGAGAGAGGGGATGTAAATCGCTTTATTTTTCTTCATATTTTGGTTGTTCCGTTTACTTTTCTTTCTCTTTTTTTATTTATCCAGAAGTGATTTCTTTATTTTTTTCTTTTCTGTTTAAGTAAAGGCCTTTGGTAGTCCCTCTTTTCAGAATTTATGTTCTGTTTGCAACAAAACTCTGGGCTGGTAAAAAAGGAATCATTAAATTTTTTTTTTTTTTTAGTTTATATTCCTGCAAGATTCTGTTTCATCTTTTCAACCCCTGCAACATCACCCCCCCCCCTTTTTTTAAAGTTCATTTACGTGAAAAGCCTCCCTTACAGTTGCACGTTAAGGTTTGGTAGTTAAATCTAAAACGCTTATTCTGGGTTGTGAGAAAGAGTTCTAATGTGTGTGCGAGTGTTTGGGTGCGATTAAAACCATGACAGAATACTTAACATCTACGAAAATCACATTTAAGAAGAGCAGAAGATTGTCCATGAGGTCTGGCCATGAGCATGGGTACAAGTGGTGGTGTGCATTTACGGGTTGTACGGGGACCGGGTACCGTATTAAAGTAAAACATGGGTACTCGGTTACCCGTAAAAGATTGTCCTATCAAAACTGAAGGTGTCTGAAGGGCTTTGTAGCTTTTACAATGTATAACTGCAACTTTCGCGAGCGTCATCTGCCGCGTGTTAAAATGCACATTAACTTGAAATCTGTTTTGATTTAAAAAATTCCCCACAAATGGCATTCAAAACCTGTCTTTTTCATTGTCTAGAAGTAATTTTTACAGTAGGCTACGGGTACACGATCCCATAATCTGGAACCTGACATCAGTGGTCGGGGACCTGTACTTGAGTACCCGGTTCTGATTTACACCTCTAGGTACAAATTTAAGTTGTACCTCAGTTCTAGTTGGGATGTATACATCTAGGGAGAGGGGAGTACCTGAAATCAGGCCCTGAGTAATGCGTTCAGTGTTGTCTCTCAATTTTAGCTGCGGTTATGAGTTCAAGGTTGTTTACAAGTTTTGGCCCCGAATTTCGGTAAAAGATATTCCCTTAAGTCTAGTCCTTAGTACATGTACAATGTATGTGTAAAATGATGTCCGTGGGTTCTTGCGATAAGTATGGGCACAAGGTTGGCTCCCAGTTCTGGTTCGAGTATGAGTTCAGGGTAGTCTGAACACAGACTCAAAAAGGTGGGCCATATGGCGGGCCATGTACAGTCTGATAACAGCCAGCGCATGGATTGTTAGATTGACCTATGACGTAGGGGTCAAACTAGTTTAAATATCTACATGCGTACCAATAGGGCTCTGCATTAAGCATGCATCCATGACGTATGATTGTGCAGGCGAAGTAGGCCAGTCAAACTAGGGCTCTGTGTTGAGCATGACGTATGATTGTACAGGCAAAGTAGGCCAATCAAACTAAAGGGGAGGCGGCACAGCCAAGGCGTGTAGCAACCAGTAAGATATCAGAAACTTAAGGCCATTGCCTGTCCTCATATACACCTGTGTTATGAGTTCAGGTGTCTGGTCTTGAGTTCAAGGTTGTAACTTCTTGAGAGTGTGTATACATACAACTTCACATTTGTGAGTTCCAAATGGCATTTTTGTCGTTGAGCATGTGTTGGTAAGTTTGTGAGTAAAATGAAGAATTCTAAAAACTGAATGCTTGGTGGAAAAAAACATACATTTTACTTTTTTTCAGTTTGATGGATGATTGTGACCAATCATACACCCACAAATAGCTACAGGCAGTTATGAATTATGCAAAAGAAATGTGACTTTATTTTTTTTCTAGAAAAGAATAAAAGTGACAGTCACATCTTTCAATGAATCCAAGCTGGCCATCACTCACCGAGGTCAACATTTGTTTTTACTTTTCTCAGAAGCTGCAAGATCTCTGGGGCTGGTTCCGAGCTTCCCTCCAGAAGTGAATCAAGCTGACTTGCTCCACCTGGGTCCCCCATGTTTCGATCCATCTTTATGCACTCAGCCGCTAACAACACTCACGGTTAGTCACGGCCAGAATGCTTCCTCCCTTGTCAAAACTCCTTAAGCCCACAACCCCCCGAACGAAGAACATTCTTTTCTGTATGTGTTATTTTTTTCTTCTTCTTTATCTTCTTTTTATACAACTTGATTTTGCAAGCAAGAAAAAAACCCACAAGTTTGAGGAAATTATTTGCATTGGTATAGAAGCCCCAAAATGTGGGAAACATTTTTGGTTTGTTTCAAACTATAATAGAGATTTAAAGGCAAGTAATTATTATAATTAAAAGATTATCAAGAATATGAGAAATTGTCAGAAGTGCGGATATTTTTTTTATACTTAAAGATCGAGAGAACTTATTTACCACAGATCTTTATTGTGATAGTGCCTTTAAGCAATTTTGTATGTATTGATGATAAATTCAAAGAAGTGATAAACTTCTGTTTACGAGTTCATAGGTTGAAAAAGAAAAAAATAATGACTGGCAGAAATTTTGGCTGAGCAGCGTACTGAAAATATTGTTCAATATTATCTCCTCACAAAAACTTTGAACTTAAGCGACTACTATGACATTCGATCTACAACTTTGTACGGTTAAAAGAATATATTGGCTGGGTGACATCTCCTAAAAGTTATATAAAAGCCTAATGTTTTGTATTCATACGCATCAGTAACATGAATTATGTTCCCATAAAGCCTCAGTTATGTCGAGTTCTTTCCGTAACTGAATGTTTAAAAATTGCCAAGATATTTTAAGTGTTGAAATGTCAGTAAAAGTACCAGAAAAGTACATGTATTGTCCGTTGAAATAAACCATTATCATTTTGCATTGAATTCGATACTGTGGTATCCTTTGTCTTTATTTCTACCTGCAAAAAGTTCGTCATTTCAAATGTAAAAGATTGGTTAATTATAACTAAAACAAACCCTGCAATTGTGAATGTTTGTGAGGTTTTTGTTGTTGAAGGGAAAACTATAGAGAAATGTTAGTTTGAATGATGGAGTTCAGTTGTTTGACTATTTTATCAGACTGGTTGTTTAAACGATTGATTGATTGATAAATAGATTAATTAACTGCTTGCATTGATTTCAATTGATTTTATTGATTTTCTTTGGAGTTATATAATGAATAATTAATTGAACAATCGACTTCATGATAACTTGAGTGATTGTGAATAATTGATTGATGAAACAGACCATTGGAAGATGAGGAGTAACATTTATTAGATGGTCGATTGATTGATCATGATCATGATCATTGAGTAGATGTTCAGTATATTAATCACGATTAATCGGTTGATAAGATATAAATTGATTGATCATGATCAATCAGTTGATTAGATATTAATTGATTGATCATGATTAATCAGTTGATTAGATGTTCAACTGATTGATCATGATTAATCAGTTGATTAGATATTACTGATATTAATTGATAGATCATGATTAATCAGTTGATTATATGTTCAATTGATTGATCATTATATATCAGTTTATTAGATTAGATTGATTGATCATGATCTATCAGTTCATTAGATATTGATTGATCATGCTAAATCAGTTGATTAGATGTTCAACTGATGTTCAACTGATCGATCGTGATTAATCAATTGATGAGATGTTCAACCGATTGTTCACATTGATAATAATGATCAATAAGTCACTCATACTGATACGTATCAGTTGATAAGATATTAATTGATTGATCATGATAAATCAGTTGCCTCGATATAAATTGATTGATCATGATTAATCGATTGATAAAATATTGATTGGTCATGATTGATGAGTTGATTAGATATTGATTTATCATTAGTAATCAGTTCATTATAAAGATATTGATCAATCATGATTAATCAGTTGATTAGATGTTCAACTGATGTTCAACTTGATCGTGATTAATCATTTGATGAGATGTTCAACTGATTGGTCAAATTGATAAACGATCAATAAGCCACTCATACTGATACGTATACAACACATGTCAGCAACCTGGTTAGTTGGCATCGACCTTCAGTGTTGTAGTCAAGCCCATCTCAAGTTCACAGAAGCCCGCACAAGTCCATCACAAGTCATCAAGTCTGGAGTCATGTCACAAGATACAGAAATGAACAGTGACAAAATCATTCCTTCTTTTTAATCGTACATCCCCTCGGGACTTGTATCATCTTTCCTCAAGATGATACCGAAGACCCCCATTACACACAAAATGCAATTTCTCTTGCCACTTGATCGTGAAGCCAATTTAGGGCATGGACCTTTCGGTGAAGGTAAGTTGTATTGTCATCTTAATATATTCCCCATGTGCCCGTCGGACGGTCGCCGTGTCACAACTAATCTTCCTCACAGGAAGAACTCCCCTCAACAGTTCAAAGAAGAAGAAAAAATGTAACAACTGTGAGGACAATAACAGGTTATTGCTGCGGTTTATGCGCGAGACAGAAATCAGACGGCTGAAAGGAGGTCAGTCAAAGTATCCATTGTCATCGTTCTTTAAAAAACCCAGTCTGTCTGTCTGTCTGTCGTGTTTTGTTAGTCGTGTCATTGCTCCCCCATACCACCTTGGCTTAGTTCAAGGTTCATATTTGTCTCAAGATCACTAAAAAATTGTGATTGTTTACTAATTATATTTTGAAGGTCCGGGTCACAGGAAACCCACAAACTGTCTTGCATTTTGCAGAGAAAGTTTTTGGAAAAAGTTCGGTTTGCTGGCATCTGAAGCGGCAAGCATGTTCTTTGTCCTGCCTATACGTACTTCCAGCAGTGAATAAAGTCTTCAAATTATGAGCCAAAGCTCTCAACATGTAGAAGTGACGATACACTGAAAGAGTATGGTTCCACAAAAGTGGTAGCACAGCAGCATTGTGCGTTTGCATCAACGTTTGCGAAAGGAAACGTGTCACCGGAGTAAAGACTAGCACTAGCACTCCATTGGCTCAATTTTTTTATTAATTTTTTTTTTCGGGGGGGTGGGCTATAATGTTGTACCCCCAAATTCCTGCACATTATAAACGTCACGAAAGCCGCAAACTTTCATGGTATTTTGTGTGGACGTTTATGTTCTAGTTGTTCATGATTTTTTCGAGCCCGAAATGGCGCATTCTCTCGAAAGTCTCCTTAACCTTATTCGAACCACCTGGTCTTTTTAGTCTTGTCATGATATGCTTATTTTATAGACGAGAGTGTGGTGTCCATTGTTATGCAGCCTTATTTTAACCCCAGTCCCACCCCTAAAATAACGTTATTATGATAGGCAGTCTAATTGAAACAAATCGGTGAGGTTAACCTTTGTAATTCAGACGTCGACGTGAATGACGGCTTCGGATGAAGAGCCAGCCCATATTCCCGTTATCATGTCCACCCTGTCGTGACAGGTAACGGTCGTCGTCTTCGAGGTGCTTCACGCACCATGCGCGTTATAATTGGCTACAAGTTGCCTCGGCGTAATAACACGGCTGTTTACAGTGTCCAGTCCATGCATGTCCACCTTGGATATGTCAATTTGCGATGACAAATTGTAGTCTTTGCTTTGACGCTTTGTTGAGTCGGGTCCTGTGCACCTTGGGAGAGGCTCCACCGTTTGTCTCAACTGTCACGGTAGCTCTTGCCGCTGGCAAACTTGACCGTAAGACGTCTGTTTACGATAGAAGTAAGCCAAATACGTGTCGCTTGGCGTAGAGTAGGCCTAAGCGCAAGCTTTTAAAGGCTAGTAAAATGTGTAAAGGTTTAATTTTACACCCCTGTAGTATAAAATACTTTAGATCTGTGGGCTACTTTGTGAATTTTTATCCCCAGAAAGAGAGATACAGCCATGGACTTTGCTGCTTCTTTTGTTTTATAACATACATGTACTTAACAAGAGATGACTTTGCACATTTCTTATTGTGTTTGATGTATGACCGTGGACTTTCTTCTTTTCTACCGAAGCATTCGTTAGGGTACCATAATTGCGCTTCGACCAATGAGATTTTGTATGCAGTATAATGCATACACGGATGTGAGATTTCTATTTTAGAACCGAAATCCACCCCTCCCATAACAAAGTAAAAGGCGTGAAGTTAATTTATGAAACTTCGGTCGTCACCCTCCCACCGATGGGCCCACCAATTAGCGGTTTCGTTCCCTAACGGTCCCCGTTGAGACAAGAACGGAAACCCAAATAAGAACCGGTGGCGGGTCTGGTTGTCCCATGTTCGTCTACGCCACACAGCAGCGCTCACCTGCCGACGATAATTGAGATAAACCAGTGTCATTTTCCCCAACTGATGAACATCATTAAAGTTCTGCAAAAAAATAGTCGGTTAAAACAGCATGTAGTGTAAATGGAGTGCTTTCGCTGGTACTGTTTCTAGGCTCGTTCTAATAAGACTTTATTCACGCAATGAAAGCGAGGTAAACTTTTCATTTTTGTAACTTGGGATTAGAAATGAAAGCAATGAAATAAGTTAATTACAAATTGATTAATTATATTTAAAATGCCACATTTTAAAAATATAAACATTTTGAAAGTGATACTTGGAACGCACTCAAATCATAAAATAGTCTGGCACCATCCCATTCAACAGTTTACAATTTATAAAATAGATTCAGGGAACGCGATCGAAAATGGCTTCCACGTGAATAGGTGGACTAACCTAGTTCCCAGGGTGTACTTTCAACCTCGAGACAATAGTACGACCCTCTGAGTGAGTGTGTTGCTTTCTATATTCTGATTCGATACCGCAATAAGTAATAGATTTACATCGTGTATTTATGGAGTTTATTTCCAACGTGTGTTGTGTGTTTTAACGTGCGTGCCAGATGATTGAACATTCAAATCATACTGTTCGACGCCATGGGGACGAGGTTGTAATTTGGGCCTTCGAGGCATTTTGCCGTATTGTGGTTAACTTTGTTGTCTTTAAAACATTGCTGCAGACCTTACTGCATGTAGTGCTTTTAGTTTTAGTGGGGCAGACAGGGGGAATATGTTGGGGAAATTGTGCCTTTGATGATACAAGCATGGCATTTGGCACACAGAGTATGTCTTAAGAAAGATATTTGGCCATAGGGCCATCGGAGATTTGTCCTTTAAAAAAAATGTGGTTCTATAGGTAGAATAACAAGCAATTTTCAACGTTTCCAAAATGGCTGCCATTGCTTGTTATTCTACCTATTTTTTTTCAATAGGCAAATCTGCGGAAGCCCTATAGCCATATATCTTTCTCGTGACATACTCTGTGTGCCAGATGCCATGCTTATGCTGTTATCATCAAAGGCACAATCGCCTATCTGCCGTACTATCTTTTGTGGATGGGGTTTGGTACTTTTGTATAGCTTCTTTGTGGTTTCGGTTCAAAATTATATCTTCAGCGTGACTATAATGGTTTGAGTATCGAGGGAGAAAATCCATGTAAGGGAGCATTGACTGAGTTAGATGCAAGTCCCCGTTTTGCATGGCACATGTACCGAGTTCCAACTGACCAACTAGCTTCTTATGAAGTAAAGTGAACCAGCACTGGACGGTGTGTTAGATGTCTGCATATTGTCACAGCAGTGCCCTTTTTTTCCCTCGTTTCATGGGCTATTCCGGTGGAAGGTGCTAGCTGCCAACGCGGCCAATAAAACGCGCCCTTCGGCAAGTCCGCACATCGGCCAATCTCGGCTACTCCCAAACAGGTGGCCTAATCGCTCATATCCGTGTTTGTTCAATCTATTCTCGTTTCTTATTTCTCTCTTGTTGCAATCATCCACAGACCTGTATATCCCATTCCAGGTTCAAGATCAATAATGGAAATTAGGACGCTGGGTTGGCTCGGGGTTAGCAGGCAAATCGCCCTGGACGTACCGGGGACTGTCC